TGTAATAACTAGTTCAACAGGTATTTGTTTTGTTGGCTAGGTACTGAGGTAGTAGGATATAAGTTCAGGGAGCTCACAGGTCAGTTTGGGATAGAGAAAACAGGCCAGAGAAACATATTTTCAGTCTGTATCGTGTTTTCACAGAAACTAGGAGAACATATTAGGGGAAGCCTTTAAGGAGGTAGTGCCAGAGCAAAGGTGGTTTTTGTTTTTCTTTTTGTTCTTGAGACGGAGTTTTGCTCAGCCGCTTAGGCTGGAGTGCAGTGGCACGATCTTGGCTCACTGCAACTATTGTCCCCCAGGTTCAAGCGATTCTCCCATCTCAATGCCTACTGAGTAGCTGCGATTACAGGCACCCACCATCATGCTCAGCTATTTTTTATATTTAAGTAGAGGCGGGGTTTCACCATGTCGGCCAGGCTGGTCTTGAGCTCCTGACCTCAGGTGATCTGCTTTCCTTAGCCTCCCACAGTGCTAGGATTACAGACGTGAGCCACTGTACCTGGCTGAGCTAAGTTCTTAAGAACTAGTAGAAGTAGAGAGTACAGAAATATTTTATGGGGACAGAGCATGTGAAAAAGTCACAGAACTGTGAATTTTCCAAAACAAACTTTTTTTCTAGTTCTTTTCTTTTGAAAACTTTGATTATTCTTTTTTTAATTGACGGAGTAATACATTAGAAAGTAGGCTTTTTTTTTTTTTTTTTTAACCCTGGACCCCTAATCTTTGCAGGATGGATTTCTTGTGTATTCTTCAGAAACTCTATATCACTCTTAAAGATACATAATTTTTAAAAAAATGGAATCATACACACTTTGCTGTACTTTATCATGTACTCAAGTTTTTGCTTTTGCTTTTTTTCCCTCTATCCTACGTAATGGTCTATCTTGGAAATCTTTGGTGGGAAGCATTTGAAGAGGGGTTTGACATAAAGGAGTGACATGGTCAGTTCCATATTTTAGGTAGCCATAACACCGATGGCCATGTTTTCATAAAAATTAAAGATGAAGGAAGGAAATATGTTCAAGATGATAATGAATGTTAGGAATAGAAGTGTATCTCCTGTAACATAACCTGCCCATCAACCTGAGAAAGCTAGGAGGAAAGCACTCAACCCTTTGCACTCATGGATTGGCTCACATTAGAGGTGTTACTGCTTCCCCAACAGGTGTTTTGAAAATGTACAGTGACTATCAGAGGAACTGACAGGACTCAGCTGGCATTTGATGGATGGGGCCCAGGGATGCTAAACTTTCTGCATTACTCAAATGGTCCTGTACTGCTTTCACAGACTGAGGGTAGCCTTCTACACTGTCTTGCAGTAAATAGCAGGTCAATTATTTGAGGATGAATAAAAACAAAAACTAATAGGAGTCTGGAAAACATATGCAATACATGAATGGGAACATCATTCTAAAGACTAACAAGGAAAGCATAAGTCTGCACATGACTTTTATAGACCACAAAATAAAAATTTAAGGTATCTGGCCGTCTCAAGAAGTGGCTTTTAAAAAGTAGATTGTAAAGTTTTAATTTCTAAGCCAGATTCAGTCCCATCAGCATGTTTTGTATATTCTACACACTGTTTTAAGAAATTTCTTACAAGTTTGCCAGCATCTAAAAACAGATTTTAAATAAAAATTCAGATATATTACTTCTCTTCAAAAATCAGATCTTTAAGCAGTAAGGTCAAATTGTGTTACATCTTACCTGCCATGAAAGCATTTGAGTTTGCAGTCTCTGCCATAACAAGCAATGTGAGGAACAACTGTGATAAACTTTTTACAGATTGAAGAATAAAAATGAAAAGGAAGGTGTTTGTGGGACTCTGCTGCACAGAGATCTAATCTGAGAATTAAATAAGCCTGAGAAATGACACTTAAGTATAAATCATTCTAAATTTGCTTTGAAAATTGAATACATGTGTTTGTATTTTACATACATATGTATGTATGTGTAGATCTCTTTCCCTTTTTTGTTTCCTCTCCTTTTATGAAACAGTTAATTCCTAAAGCCATTAGGTGAGTCCAAGGAAGGTAGGCATCCACACCAAATTTGGGGAGCTGTAGTGGCACAGAGTATTGGAACCTGACCAGGTTTGGAAGGTGTGGGATGGAGAAGACTACCAGTGTGGGGTTTCAGAGCCCGAGCAGGGTGAGAAGTGCACCTCTGTGGGGGAGTGAATGACATGGGATGTCAAGAGTGCAAATGGAATGAGGAAGGTGTCTATGTAGGAGGGATAGGACTAAAAGAAACCAGATCTTTTTGGAGAAATGGCTGATTCCAAGGCTGGGGTTGGGAAAGAATGAGATAAATCAGGAACTTCTTGTTGGTACAGAAAGTAAGAAAGTGCTTAAAGAATAATGAGGACATGTCCAAAAAACAAAATAATGTCAGTAATTGATTATATATATAAAATAGGAAACCATGAGGGAATAAATAAATGAATACATTGAAAGTTTGATGAAGAACAGGATATTTACATACTTTCATAGTACATCCCTACGAAATATTGTCTACAAAAGAGAAACAAGAATCGTGGTAAAGTTTGGCAGATAACACCTTAATCCAGTGATCAAGTTAACATTAGCAGTAATGAAATCAAAATCATGTGTCACCTGATAGGATGCAGTGAGAACCCAGCATCTGTGTTATTTTTACCAAAGATGTATGACCTGAATTTGATCACAAAGAAACACCAGAGAAACCCAAATTGAAGAACATTCCCATACAAAATAATTGCCCTGTAATCTTTAAAAGTATCAAGATCATAAAAGCCAAAGAAAGACTGGAAATTTTCCAAATCAGAGGAGACTGAAGAAACATGGTGGCTAAATATAATACAGGATTCTGCACTGGATTATATTGGTACAAATGGCAAAACCTGAATGGGGTCTGAGGATTAAATGTTAGTAATACACCAGCTCTGATTTCCTGATTTTGATGATTGTCTTGTTACCTAGGAAACCACCCTTATGTTGTAGAAATTATAAGCTAAAATGTTCAGGAGTATCAGCATGATGCTAGCACCTTACTCTAAGGTGCTTCCAGATTTTCTAAAAGTTTTTTTTTTTCTTTGGTGGGTGGGGGGGATAGAGTCTCACCATGTCGCCCAGGCCGGAATGCAGTGGTGCCATCTTGTTTCACTGCAACTTCTGCTTCCCAGATTCACGCAATTCCCCTCCATCAGCCTCCCGAGTAGCTGGGATTACAGGCACCTGCCATCATGTCTGGCTACTTTTTGTATTTTTTGTATTTTTGTATGGACGGGGTTTCACTATGTTGGCCAGGCTGGTCTCAAACTCCTGAACTCAGGTGATCCACCCGCCTTGGCCTCCCAAAGTGCTGGGAACCACTGTGCCCCACCACAGATTCTTAAAAGGTTTTTGAATTGTACTGGCGACTTTCTTTAAGTTTGAGACTATTTCAAAATAAAACAAATTTTTGGAAAGCAGGAAAGTCTTTATGTGCACACAGAGAAAGTGGCTTGGGAAATTTTGCCACAACATGCCTTTTAATTTTAGCATTATTTTCATTGGTGCTAAAATTAGTATTACCTTAATTATATAAACACTGCTAGAAAAAGTAAACAGTGTAGAATGTGCCTTTTAATTTTAGCATTACTTTCATTAATGCTAAAATTAGCATTATTTAATTACATAAATACTGCTGGAAAAAGTAAACAATGTAGAAGTGGTACCCAGTTTGTTATAAGTCTCTAAGTCATAAAAATCTTCTTAAATGGTAGTTTTGCTGGAAACATTTAGTATTAACTATGTATGTATTACAGCAGTCGGTGTTAAATAAATGTGAAGGTTCAGTTTTAAAATTTTAAATATTTTGTATGATGTTTATTAGTACATGTGGTCTTAAAACAGAGTTTGAACATTTGGAATTGTCAAATAGAATTTAAGACTAGACACAGTAATTTTTCTATAAATTTATTAGTAATTTTTGAAGGTTTTTTTAACTTGACTAATTGATTTGTTTAATATAGGTCAAGTTAAAAGTGAAGTTTTGGTTTCTTCTAAGACTGGATAAACTTTGCCTGCTGCTAAAATATATATCTTCTTCCACTTTTCATATTTAAAAAGATGGTTAACCTATACACTAAGGAATGAAAATAAAGATATTATATATAATGTAATGAAAACTATATGTGTGTAAAAATTAATCTCATAACAGTAGTCTGAGTTTCAGTTCCAAATGAAATGAAAGAGGAAAAGGGGGTCTCAAAAGATAGAATTTCAGTCTTAACTTTGGTAATTAGAAAGCAATATAGATTATAGAATAATTTTTAAATCTATTCATTAGTAGAATTTAAAGCAAGTTACATGCTAAGCCATGGGAAGTATAAAAGCAAACAAAACTTCTGTACAAGTATAAGAGGAGATCCTTTTGTAGTTCATAAGTGTGATGATTGGGTTTTCACAGTCATATGTGACATGGGCCTCCCTCAAACCTTGTTCCCCCCCATTTGAGGGGGTAAAAAGCGTAAGGGGGGGATAAAGGAAATATTTAAACAAGAAAATATTTAATAACATGGGGAAATACAATGTAACTATATGCAAGATGACCCCAGTTTAATATTTGTGTTCATGTGTATGACAGATGTTGTTACATACAGAAAAGAGACTGAAAAGAAAATCAGATTGAGTAGCTTCCTGTAGGAGTTGAAATTCTGGGTGATTTTCATTTTCTCCTTTAAACTTTTATTTATTTATTTATTTATTTGATTTATTTTAACTAGACTAACCACTTCATAAACTTTTTAAAATTTAAACATATTAATAATATATATGAAGGATATCTAATATATGTATACAACTCCTAACCAACAAATGCTCTTTAAAAATTATAATATTCTATTCTATGTTTATATACTACTATTCTCTTCTGTTTTATATACTGTTTTTCTATTCTATGTTTTATATACTGTTAAAAATATTCTAAAATATTTTGTAGATTTTTTTCAGTGGAAAAAATCTGTTTATTTCTAGGCTCATTGGTGGGCAGTATTACTTATGGGAATTGCTCTGATCATGCTAATGGCTGGATTTATTAAGATATGCAGTGTTCATACTCCAAGTAGTAATCCAAAGTTGCCTCCTCCTAAACCACTTCCAGGTAAGTGTATTTGAGCAAGATACGTAGTTATGTAACTCAGAATTCTTTGTTTAGCAGGTAGAATTGAATTATAAATGAGTCTTAAGTAATTAATGTTTTAGTACTTTCTCCCTAAGAATGGGATTATTGGATGAATAATTTAGTTGATATTTGTGTGCTTTTTGTCAATCCAGTGTGGTCAGTGATTGCTAAATTAATTCTAATTTGTCCAAGTGTCTGAAAATATTTAAAACTGGAAATTTTAATTTTTGCTGTTTTCTTTTTTTTTTTCTTCTTATTCTAATATATTCCCTTGCTGTGATTATGGTAGTTAAACTACTTTAAAATTATTGATCTTGCTATTCTAATAGTTGTGCTTCTCATATTGTTGTCCTTCCTTCCCCCTTCCTTCCCTTCCACGTTCCCTTCCTCCCTCCCTTCCCTTTTTTCTTTTTCTTTCTTTTTTTTTTTCTCTTTCTCTCACTATGTTACCCAGGCTGGATTCAATCCTGAGCTCAAAAGGTCCTCCCCACCTGAGCCTGCCAAGTAGCTGGGACCACAGGCGCGTGCACTGCACCCGCCTCTCTTATTATTTTTAGTGTTTGTGCTCTTGAAATATTTTCTGGTACATAAACTCATTTTCCACCAGAGTGATGCTTATGGGGAAATACAGATCCCAGTCTGTGGGAGAGTCTTAGGGTAGAGGATTCATTCATCAAATAAGCACAGTCAAGTATTCTTCATCCCTGAAAACAACTCTTTAGTTCTTGTCTCCACCCTTTACCTCTCAGGGAGACATAACATGAGGAAGGACCCTCTTTAGATTAGCTGTGGGCATTGGGAGGAGAATAGGATAGGAAATAAACCCTTCGTATTATTTAGTTCCCTCTATTTATACCTCCCCCTCTCCAAGGTATTTGTGGCTATTCTCCACAGGTGTGGGGACAGACATTGTCTCAGGGGAGAGCCAGAGGTAAATGACAGCAGTTCCCTCTCCTACAGCTCTCAGACTTCTCATGAAGTGTCTTGCCTCAGGCAAATCCACTACCCTATACAAAGTAGTTCAAAACTAGGTTTCTTAAACTTTTTTTCTGTTTTCCCTCAGTTCACCTGCATTTACCTGTCTGGGGCAATACAGCCAGTAGTCATGCTAGGACAGTATCTTAGTGAGAATTGCAGGAAATTTGATTTTTATATCATTGCTTTTCTTAAATTCACAATGTTAGCATTCTGGAACTTACATTAGTATTTAAGGGATTTCTAAGGGCCAAATGACACTTTTTAGATAATATTATTAATTGTGTTCTCATTCAGTAAAGCATTTTATATATATATTGATTTCATTTTGAGTAAATAGCACCTTTAAAAACTAAGAAAACTAGCTGTCATTTATTGAACCCTCAGAAAAAGTGTTAAACATTTTTATATGAATTATATAATCTTTACAACAGACTATATAAATTAATTATCATCCCTGTTTTACAGTCTAGGTGTCTGAATCTCAGGTTAAGGCATTTGTTCAAAGACACTTAGTAATTCCTCATGGATTCTGTCCACAGAATCTGTGATATTAATCTAAATTAATCTAATATTTGTGGCTGCTGAGCACTGAAGTGTTGCTAGTTTCCATTGAAATGTGCTGTTTTAATTAAAATATATACCAGACTTTGAAGACTTAGTATAAAAATATTTTGTTAGTAATTTTTTATATTGATTACATATTGAAATGATACTTGGGCTATGTTAATTTAAATAAAATTTAAAATATTATTTTCACTTTTTTAAACCTTTTTTGTTATGCCTATCTGAAGATTTTAAATTACATTGGTGGCCCATGTTATTGAACAGCATTGAACTAAAACCTTTCTTATTGAAGCAGCAGCTTTGTTTTTAAAGATTACAAAGCTCATGATCAGTAAATCTGTTTTGCTTTTGTTTGCGGCTCACAGGCACTTTAAAGAGGAGGAGACCTCCACAGCCCATTCAGCAACCCCAGCGGCAGAGGCCCCGAGAGAGTTATCAAATGGGACACATGAGACGTTAACTGCAGCTTTTGCCTTGGTTCTTCCTAGTGCCTACAATGGGAAAACTTCACTCCAAAGAGAAACCTATTAAGTCATCATCTCCAAACTAAACCCTCACAAGTAAACATGAAGAAAAAATGGCAAGAGATCATGTCCTCAGACCAGGTGGAATTACTTAAATTTTAAAGCCTGAAAATTGCAATTTGGGGTTGGGAGGTGGAAAAGGAACCCAATTTTCTTATGAACAAATATTTTTAACCTAATGGCACAAAGTCTTAGAATATTATTATGTGCCCCGTGTTCCCTGTTCTTCGTTGCTGCATTTTCTTCACTTGCAGGCAAACTTGGCTCTCGATAAACTTTTACCACAAATTGAAATATATATATTTTTTTCAACTGCCAATCAAGGCTAGGAGGCTCGACCACCTCAACATTGGAGACATCACTTGCCAATGTACATACCTTGTTATATGCAGACATGTATTTCTTACGTACACTGTACTTCTGTGTGCAATTGTAAACAGAAATTGCAATATGGATGTTTCTTTGTATTATAAAATTTTTCCGCTCTTAATGAAAAATTACTGTTTAATTGACATACTCAGGATAACAGAGAATGGTGGTATTCAATGGTCCAGGATTCTGTAATGCTTTACACAGGCAGTTTTGAAATGAAAATCAATTTACCTTTTTCTTATAATGGAGTTGGTTTTGATACTTATTTTTTCTTTATCACATGGCTGCTATGGGCACAGGTGACTATGCTGAAGAACACAGTTAAGTGTCGTGCAAACTGGATATAGCAGCATACTACGTCAGAGTTCATTATGTAAATGTCTGGTTTCTGCTTACATATTTTAAACTTTCTAATTAAATTCCATTTTTGACTTGGTAGGTGAAATTTTATTCATGCTTTGATAGAAATTATGTCAATGAAATGATTCTTTTTATTTGTAGCCTACTTATTTGTATTTTCCATATTTCTGAAGTATGCTAATTATATTTTCTGTCTGATACAGAAAAGTTGTGTCTTTATCAAAATATTTGAACAGTTTTTTCAGCATATCATCATTGATCATTGGTAAACCACTAAAGATGAGTATTTTGCTCAAGTAGTAGTTAAGATTGTAGATAGGCCTTCTGACATTTTTTTCCCTAAAATTTTTAACAGCATTGAAGGTGAAACAGCACAATGTCCCAGTCCAAATTTATTTTTGAAACAGGTGTAAATAATTGGCATTGTAAAGAAAGAGAAAGCAAAAACATTTATTGTATTAACAGGCTTGTTGCTATGCAGGAAATGGAAGGGGCATTATAAAAATTTAAGCTTGTGACATTTATTGTTTCTGTTTTCCAACTATGTCACTTCAATTAGAAGTAAAGCTATGATTTTCCTGACTTCACATAGGAGACAAATTTAGAGAAAGTTGAAAAGATTTCTGTTTTGGCTTTTTTTGTTTTGAGATGTGTGTCTTGTTGAGACATCAAGTAAGTAATTACTGATAGGAGACTAGTGTTTGAACTAGAAGTCACTATAGAAGATATAGCTTT